TTTTACTTAGAATTATTCTACCAACCAGTTTCATCAAATGTAAGGATACTTGGAAATTTTTCTCGCCTAACAGAACCATGAACAAGGCGGCAGTAAGGCCATTCAGAGTCATTTATGAGGAATAAGTAGATATTCGAACCTATGTTACATGTTTAAAACCTTCAGCAGTTTGGAAGCATCCAGTAACCTGACAAATCTCATGTAGACTGTCACCTTCTAGTCTCCACTATACAGTGCAAAAGCGAAACGAAAAACATCTCACTGCTTTGTCAGTTGGTGACAGTGGGCTTTAATTCGTCGGCAGTTTCTTCACTGGTAAGAACTGGTGGTGCTCTTATTTGTTTCTATCAAGCCATTGAAGTGTAACAAAATCTTGTTGTGTTAATGTATCATTCAGACTAGGTTTTTCAACGTTGTACTGGTAAAAGAAACCTAATGTTCTACTTACAATAATTTATACAGAAATCAGTTTGATGGGACTTTTGTCGCTTTCATTGTAGACAATATGATCAGTAGTCCAGCATAGCTTTTCCCTTCCGACAGTTGTAAAAAATATATACATATATGTACAAACGGATGACAAATAAAAGTGTTTCGTTAAAGAGAGAGATAATACAACTATCCTATACATGAGATCTTCTAAAATTATCTATCGAAATGTTTAACTACTTGTGAGTAGGACTGATTAAACGAAGAAATTTATCTTCCTAATAAGGTTACCGTCTTTTTCAATATGCAGATGCATAGATTTCTGTAATTAATATCAAAATGCTTTGAATAAGTCAAACTGCAAAATAATCATGATTTCATTAATAAAAGTTTAGGTCAGCTTTATTGTTTTTCCCATTGATTGGTCGAACTGGAATGTTCCGATTCTGCCGATATTTCTTCTCCTAGTACGGGCTCTTCGACGATGTCTGAGGATTGACAGTGGAGATATTTGGTGAACGGTGACTAGTAATGAAGTCCAGGATGTGCACTTCGTCCTATATGAGGCTTATCAGGTCAATGCACCTGTAATCCCCTGTGAGTAATGGTGTTCCTGCTGAGACTCGAACTCAGTACCCTTCATTTCGAAGACCATCAATCACAGGAGGTTAAAGGCATATCCAGTGACCAGTCCCAAGTAGGATGAAATGCGCATTCTGGATTCCAGTGCCAGTTATCACTCACCAAATAAAAATGATGATAAGAAGTTCAAAGTAATAATTACAAGGATGTAAAACAGGTTATAAATTGTCAGGTTTCGTAAGAGTTAGTAGTATGAGTGATATGACTCATCGACCACCAGAAGTCTCCCACCACTTAAACATAAGGTGTTACAAATTAAACAGACTAAAGGACGTCTACTCATAGAAAGGAGAGTAGTTATAGAGTGAAACTGGAAGTTACATTATTTTGACGACCTGATTAACACGAGTGGTTGGACATAATGCTTTTGAATAAAAGGGTTTGTTTCACAAAGATGGCTGGTAACCACTTCGACATATGGACTAAATGAGTGTTTAATCGATGTGGCAGGTTAACTTGTATGCAATTTAAAGTTTTGAATATTTTTCTAGTGTCTGTCATTAACCTGGTGCGCAAATACAGAACTCTTTAATATTTCAACCCATCTTTTATTGAGCTATGATGTGTCATGTTCGAAAATTCGATGACAGAACTGCTATACTGTACGTCTTTTGACACTCGAATGAGCTCCTTCGGAACTGTACTCTTGTCTAAATTAATCTTATTTTCGAAATCTACAGAGTTATCAACAGTATAACAAGAAGGAAATCCAGTTGACCCATTTTGCTTTACAAAACTACCCTAAAATTTTTCCCTAGATGAAACCAAGTGGTTATTTAATATTTACTTCAATGGGCTACTGTGAAGATTTTTTCGACGAAAATTCGCATTCATCCAGCTTGCCATAAGTTCATTCACGGTAGACACAGGAATGTCTATTTCTACGCTGTGCCTCATCAGCTCACGGTAAGCGAATTTCACTATTTCCATGAAAGAACCCTAATGAGCGAAAATAAAGCACTGCTCTATATCAGCCCTTTCAATGAATTCAAAGTTGTTTTACGACTTGGGTTTATTTTTTTCATATTCAGTGATAATAACACAGTTAGACATATTTAGGCAGTTTTATCCCTTTATTGTTTATGGAAAACTAAAAGATCCACACCGTAATGTGTGACTGGTGAAATATATAAAACATATCAAGGAAGATATCAGATGTACCTCGAAGCATATGCCACCAACTAACCCGATTACCTGGAAGTTATCCACTCCAACTGATGAACCTTAGTAGTCACACAAAGTTGATATAAGTATTGAACATCCACTCTAATCCTTTGAAGAGTGTATATGTTAAATCAGGAAATCTGAGTGTGCTGCATGCGAAAAGGCAATTTCGCTGTCAACAATCCACATAACTGATGTAGTCAGCTTAGTTTTAATAGCAAGAGGCTATTTTGGGAAGTAAGGCTTTCGCATTTAGATACCAAACAAATCAAACTTATATCTTACTTGCGTCGACTAAGATAAGAATTTTAGAGGCTATTGGATTATGGGATGATACATAAACAAGGTCTTAACCTCAAAAAAACATTCTTGAGGAGGCTATTTATTTCGGCTGAAGTTACACAGACACTATTTTGAATGAAAATAGTCTTTTTATTTGGGAATAAGTTCTTAACAGCTTGATATGATGTCATTTTAGCTTCAAATGGTGAAGAAATCCAGTCACTTAACTTAAGACGATGTTTAATCAAATGTTATCACATGATATTTAACGGCAATTTATTCCTCATTGGAATATTCCTTTCATAACACAAGCAAAATCATAATACGTGTGACAGTTTTTCGTTTAATAGCCCAAAATGTTTGATACTCTATATTGGAACGGCACAACATAAATGCCTACTCTAGTAATCTTTTTCATACTGATCTTTGTTGCAACTCTTTTAGACAGTCCGATTTTGGAAGAAAGAAATGAATATGATTTGGTTATGATGAAAATCGAAACAGAAACCTTGGTGACAACGTCATATGATACCAATATTTCCAAAATTGGTACAAGTTATATTGATTTACTTGCTGGATGCTCTACGTCTGCAAAAATAAAACACTTTGAGGACGCAAGAGACACGAATATAGAAGATAAGGTGGAAATCCATTTTAAACCATTGGAGAAGCTACATTTCAAAATCAAGACTTGTGGTACTTTCGATAAATCTTTACTAGGCTTTTAGGGAGACCCATTAATTAGTCACAAGAAATCTCCGATAACAGTGACTAGCTTGGATAAATATTAGGTATTTTAAAAGAGTTCTTGTATACTTAACGTTATTCTTCTTTAAGGTACAGAATATCTTGTAAATTGTCCCAGAAACCAGTACATCTTTCTTCAAAATTATCGTTCACGAATGTCAAAACACTGAAATCCGTTTGTCTCTCTGATGTCTGCCTTAAATTACTAGGTCATCTGGTGAATAGTTTGTTGTACTTCTATGCTAAAGCCAGTAGTTTTGGATAGCTATATGACTAACTTGATATTCACATTACCTATACTTGTTTTTCGAGGTTTTCTATTTCTTTTAAATGTGAACATGTAGTCAAAGTTAAAAAGGGTTGTTTCGTTTTGTTAGACTACTGTTCGGTAGGAGGTGGAAAGTAGTAGGTAGAGCATCACCATTCATTAACAAAATACATTCAACTATATGCACTGTTTTCTAGATAGGAAAATATTATTTCATGAACTTCTTACTAATAATTCAGACAAGTACTGCCTTTGTACATTTCAGACTTCATTTTTATCTAATTAGGCATTTATTTTGAAGTGTCACTGTGACTCAGAAAGCCAGTGAAAACTGCCAAGTACAATGAACTATAATGGCATTCACTGAAGCTGTTTAATCAACGTATTTTTAAAGTTGCCTCTTGACGATTTTGGTTGGTATTATCTACAGCCAAAAATGTCGTTATATATTAAGTGGCTGATATGCCATATACAACGAACGATAAATCTAAGATTTTATATTAAATCAAGAGGACTTCATGGATTTTCACCACCTACCTTCATGGGTGACAAGATCCCTCAGTGGTACTGCCCGATTCGGCGAACTAATTAAACTTAAACAGTCCTAATTTGTGAAAACCCAGAGACTTTGTTGATCAGAACTAAATCTTATACTATATCTGAAAACTGTAATATTCTTCTAAAGAATGTCATCAAGGATAAAACTTTTTTATTTTAGACCATGTTGCGCCAAATAGTTGTCATAGTCACCTTCTGAGAATCATGGGGTTTAGGAGTTCGCTTCATAATTTCTTTCAAGTACTGCAAAAAAGAGACAAATTTGTCAAGTATTTTAAAAAATGAGTACCGCTGACAAGTTGGTTTTCTGAAGGAAACAAGAATCATACATTATTATAAAGGCTTGAATCAACATATTTCTTTTAAAATAGTCCACACTTAAAATTACTATAGGAAATATATGAATATTAATTTTTTAAATTCTATCGAGACAAGTTATACGAACTAGTGAGGCAAAATCGAAATGATTCCAATATATGCACAAATGAACTGTTGTTTTCCAGTAATTGTTAAAAGCAACTTTGTGAAACCTTTATTACCTAGTGTTCGCGCTTGAGGAAGTTCTGCTTAAGATAAATAATTTACACCTGAATTCAAATAAAATGAAGAAAATTTTAGCTGCGTTACACACCACTACAGGACAAGGTTATAGTGAGCACCCGATAGAAAAAGCTTCAGCTAAATTGAGCTAGTAACAACTCACGCATAAAAAAAACAAAAAGGATCTATGTCTTGCGTCTGAAACTGGCATTTCAAACCACCTACTGCTCCGTTCAATATTCGTTTGAAATATTCAAGCTATTAAGCACTTTATAACAGATAATGACATGCTGACTGCATAAAAGGTAGAGACAAATGTCATAAACATTTACAAAACACCACAACTTTAACAAAAAAGAAAACTTTAATTAGGGGTAGTTCATGAGTAGAAGGGACAAAAATTTACATATACCAGGATAACCGCTACAGATTATTTATATTTACTACCAAAAATTTGGTCAGCACCTGACGGAAGGTGATTAAATCGAAGTATAAAAGTCATTACAAAACTACAGTCTACAAAATATGATCTGTATAGTAATAAACACAACATTTTGACAACACTTCAAATCACTGGAATACGCATGATTCGTAGGTTGGTACCATGTATTTGATATTAATAAAAGCGTTTTCTCCACCATGCATCTCGAGTATCTGTAAAGTTTCATGAACTAAATCACCCAAGTTCTCTCGCTTCTGCTGGCTGTAGTCGATTCCATCTCCCAAATTTTTATTTTTATTTATAAAGGTATTCATGACTGGTAACAACTGTCTGTAATAAGGTACAAGGGCTTCCCCGATCATTTCACCAGAAACAACTAAATGTTGAATAGCTTTGAGAACTGTACAGCAAACTTTATGCTGACGCAAGTTAAGTGCTGACTTTATAGGAATTATAAGCTGAGGTATGACGGGCAGTATTTTGTTTCCACCGTGCTCAAGTAGGTCATGTACACCTAAATTATTAATCAAAGTTTTCTTAAACATTTACCTTGCCGGGCAAAGAATTCATATGGATGTTCAGTTTCTGCTAGACCTTCGAAAAAGAGTGGGAGGTAATGGTGATAATCCAACTTCTCAATATCAACTTTCCAAACAATTTTGTTTCCCTTGCTATCATGTTCTAACGCCACAGGGAAATCTCCACGGTCATAAAATATTCTGAACTGAGTATCACATTTAAGTGGCTTGTGAGTAAAGGCTCCAGCTTTAGGCGGGGATCCAACATCTAATTTTCTTGTAAAAGCGATTGGCTTGAACGCGAAATCATTGCAAGAACTAACTTTGCTTTTTCTTTTTTCATAATTATCTCTTACATGTCCCATTGTATCGGTACCCATTTTTAAAGTGTTAACAACGCTGTTATGCTGACAACAGTAACTAAAACAAAAGTGGAAAATATTTTGTTTGGGAAACAATCTCTAAGGTGAAGGCTGGCTTCATTTTCTACAAATAAGGAAGAATCATTAAATTCGTTACAAGGTTCTTGAATATACGATCCTGTGAATTTATGGAGGTTTTACTAATTTGCAGAACTTCTGTTAGTAAGATGCAGTCTGCAATTTTTGAACTACTTGTGCCAAAAAACACTACTTTTTATCTCACTTGGAGAGCTTGGTAATTGTGCTGAAAATAGAGAATATCTTGTAGGTAGTTTTCCGTATCAAAAACCTACAAATACATCCAGAACCTAGTGATTACCGTAGCTGCTTCAAGAGAAGTTTCTCGGTGAAAATGTTTGACGCAAAATCTTTGCCTTTACGTCGCTTCTAACTATGGATTTGGTTCTTCGACAGCAAAAGCACACTCCTATTTATGGAGAGCATGCATAATATATTTCAAATAACCCGTGGTCAGTTTGTAACTCCACAATCCTAATAACTGGTTTCTGTCGTCTAAAGTAAAGAATTCTCAGTTTTAAGGTATTATTTATAAATTTAACTTTAATAGATCATTCATGAACTCAAAATGTACGCCTCAGATGTCGAATGAAACGTGGGCCGCAATCTTCGGACAAATAGTTCTTATCCGAATGTATCTGCAAGTATATCTGATTCAGGATAAATGGGGCAAGGAGTCCACTGAATCACAGTCATCCACTTAATGCTATCAGTTAGCAATGCCAAACAAATTATGGTCCAAGGCGTTGGCTGCGACAAAACATACGCAAGTCATATACTTGTCTCCAAAGAAATAAAATCAGCTCTCCGCTTACTTGTCATCATTTGTCTGCAGCTGGCGTCCTCGAGATACGGACAAAAAGTTTAACCAGCACATTTATCAGTAATTTCTTAATCATATAACAATTTGAGTCATGGCCTAACTTAATCCTGGGGGAACTGCACCTGGAAGACTCTAATTTCCAGACACTTTCAATATGACGATATGCGGAACATACGAATTTGTAATTTCGTTCTAATTTGAATATGTATTAGTAGTAAAAATGAGTGGCAGATGAAAATCAAAAGACAAAATAGCCCTCTGCACATACCAAAGCCACTAGATTCATAATTTCATCCTGCGAAAGAATGCGATCCAGAACACCAGCAAATGCATCACAACTGATCATAAGGATCAGTCCTGTCGAGAAACAGAACATCCACATTCAGATACGTGACAATCAAAAACAATCCACTAAAATAAGCACGTAGCAGGTAAGTGCTTAGGTAATTCACACACTATGAATTGCCGAAATTCCGGCATTCTCTCACCCAACAGTGATATATTTTATAATGATATTCATAGAGAAGACCAGTATTTCAGCGGAGTCTGCCGTTGGTGAATTCATTTTCACAGCTGTACCATCGCAAACATACATGGTTGTTTTGTGTGCTTGTGTACATTAGATTTGTCAAACGAAAGTACGGTTGGTCAGGGCGAGGTAACTAAGGAGGCGAAAAACGGTAAGTTTTCGGTGGAGCTACTTAATACAGAAAAGCGTCCAGAGGAATCGGATGTCGATACAGGAGGGTAATAAGAAAACTGATGAGATGTCACAAACGATTGTTAAGGAAGGATTATGTAATAACATGGGTAGTTGGATGAAAGAGTTGTTCTCAGGGTGCACATAGGAAAAAATAAAATGCAAAAGAGCGTAAGAGTTTTACAAAAATACAAGAGATTTAAGTAGTTGGAAAAATAGGCAAATAAGCAAGAATTAAGTGAAATCAACTGAGTTGTCACCACGATAGTAGAAGTGGCTGAATAATTTTCTTTGGCATGCATAGTTCTGGTTCTAACTGAATGGCTAGGGCTTCTGCAGTGCAAAGAAGACGGAAACGTATTGCCCTTGTAAGGCTGTTCTTCACTTCGTAGATTGCTTTGAAGTAGGCGTTTGTTGAGATAAAATGACCAGTGTTGACGAGATGTTCGATTATTGCCCTCCTTATTTGGCCACTACTTCCTTTACGCAACCAAGCCGAATAGTGTTCCTTGACCTTTTTTGACAGCATACGCATCGAACGACCAATGTACCTGGCTCCACAGCAACAAGTGAACTGATATATGCAGATAGAAGTGGTCAGGCGCGAGATCTTACTCTATGGGTTTCTGCAGATCAGCGGCAGACTGGAGAATACTACTACTAATAATAATAGTAAATATTCTCAATTTTTGTATATGAGGGACGCCAGCTTACAGATATCATCAATAAGATAAATAACATATACAAGGAGTAAGCATCTTCACAATTATTCACTTACATAATATATACACAGAAAAGGTTATGGAATAATACCTATGATGTTACTTTACACAGGCGGAGGCGGAGTGCGCAGCATAATACAAAGCATCCCCATTGAAGGGATTTAACCAAAATGCGGGTCGCATTTGATGTTAGAGTTACTGGAGATGGGCGTTGTAGGTCATTCATAAAATGATAAAATTGCCTTGTAAAACGTTAGTTAGTTCACTGATAATAGTGTTATTATTAATATTAACTGCCAGTGACTCACCACAGCATTAAGTGTCCAGTTAAACCTGCAAATAATTATTGTTACGGCAACAGATGATTTTCAGTCCATACGCAGCCAGGAGCCAGAATAATGGCGAACTCAGCACTGTAAAATGAAAGCTGGGAATTATCATTACGACAGTAAGTGACATTTCAAATGCAACCATCGGGGCATTTTCCTTATTTCTTAAATAACCAGATTTATTGGCGCCGCACAGGTACTTATTGTGGTTTTTATTGTTTATTTATTTGCAACTTTAGAGCTGTGAAAATGAATTCGCGGACGAGAAACTCTCCGGTGAACTGCCGGTCTTCTTTATTAATGTTCGAATGTGGAGCTTCCGTCAAGAATATTTATGCTCATAGTGCTCTGCATGAGGGACGCCAGTCTACAATCATCATCAATTGTTAACAAGTAATAAAACTTAGGCCACAATCGTAGTTAACAGGTGGTTTCTGTATATGCCTTACAATTTGAGATATTCCGCAAAGCACTATTACATGCATTCGTTTGAAATATACGGACACTTTAGTTGCACTAATTGTCGGATACCTGCGAGAAGTGAGTGAATACTCAACAGTGAATAGGTTGAAGTATTTGAGTTGTCCTAAAGGGGATTGTGGATACAGTTCCGCGTCATTATGGATGAACATCGCCTTACTGATTTTGGAAAGTCAACTGTAGTTGGTGAGGTATGAAGAGAATTCATGAAATGCACATCTATCCATGTCAGAGTATAGTAAGTTGTGTCCTCGTTTTCTTACATGCTGTTTCTATGTCGATTTTGTTTCACTTATTCTGTCACGTAAATATTACATCAACACGTTACGTGAAGTGGAGCTTCTTGGATCGGCAGAAGACGAAAATAACTTTCACAGGAAGCATCATGTCGTAAGATATCCGGCATTATAACTCTCTGTCATTCCGTTTTTAAATGTTTTGAGCTGGAAAAGTGACGAACAGACATGAGAAAGTCGATACTAGTGCAGGTCAATTATCTATTATGATATTCTCATATTCCAGGTGCTACTCTAAGAGGACATGCATAAATTTAATTTTGACAGTGAAACAGAGTAGCACAAAAATCCAAAAACAAAGGCCCTTGAACGGAATTGAGCGATTTTGTTAAAAGATTAAAATCAACTGAATGCTTTACTTGATCAATGGACATTTTGGGTATAAAATGTACTATCTTCAAACCAGTACGCTTTTATCACTTTTCGTATTGTACTTTTATTGGGAAATCCTACTGATCACCAGCAGCCCAAATTACACAAGCCGAATAATACGGAAAAAGCTAAACCGAACGTTAGACCCAGAACACTAAAGCCCATAATTACGAAAGCTTCGAATGGGTCACTGGCTCCTTCTACTGGTGGACAATCATCTAAACTTAGTCATGTTCCTGAAGTTAGACGTAATTCACATACCGTAGGAGCCTACTCATTTCCGACTTCCACTACTAGTCCTATGATAAGAAAAAATAATCGTCACATTTCTCACCAAACACTTCGAAAACACGAAGTTGCTCAGCCCCTCACGAATGCACTCTCAACCATGATGTACAGGAAACACCAGTTTGAGAATACAGACGTTAGTCCAAAAAGACGTATAGCGCCCTGTCATAATTCTCATGCATTCAGTAGGAGTCACATGCCGATTTCAACACAATGCTCATCATGGCCTAGGAAGTTCTCTAACCAGACACAAGGATCTAAGTCATATGCACACAACAACACGCCGACCACCCATTTCGGTTATAACTATGCAGACTACATGACTCTAGCCAACCCATATGACCAAACTTTTCTCCAGCGACAACTGGCAGAAACGCCTGGGATCATGCACATAGCACATATGATGTCAGACCAATTCCTTGCTGGTATAGCAAACACCTTACAACAGGGAAACTGCTTCTTCCCCGACAGATAGCAAACACTTTATACACACCTAATACCAATAGTAATACCTTAGATTATCATACTAGTATCTCCCATAGCACGCAATATCTAAACGACCAACCACTCACGAGTGACATCTCACAACCCATCCCTAAGTATCAAACTAAAGAAAACGTCTCTAGTGATCAAAATGTTGCAATTAATGAATCCAATAACGACTGCACGTATTCAGCTGATAACCATAGAGCATTTTATTATGATATCGCCCATACACTAAAACCACTTAGTCAAAGTCTATCAGTCATCCTCATAAACGCTAGATCAGTTCTTAACAAACATTTAGCATTATGTACGTTAGCCTCTACATGCAATCCGTCGCTGATCATGATCACTGAAGCCTGGTGCTCAAGTGATATTACGGATGATAGCTTATCAATTGATAAGTACAATCTTTTTCGAGGGGATAGGGAAACAGGTTGTGGGGGTGGAACACTCATATACGTTAAACAACCCATTTGTGCAACGCATTTTAGTCACCCTATTCTGTCACAACTTAATG